ATCGTTCCCATTTTTTTTGTTTTTTTACAAATTGTATTACTGTACATTATATAAATCTGTAGGCAATACATTATATGTCAGCCAAGGAAAACAAACATTCAACATAAAAGGTATCTCCACACAAGCACACGCCGAGCATGTAGACACCATGCTGAATCTGTAAAAGACCCCCCTCTCAAAAAAAGGAAAAACGTCTACCTACCTAGGCATCCATAAAATATATAGTTTGCTGTCCTCCGACCGACCCACGAAAATAGCCGCGCCAAGTTTTTTTTACATTTTGCAAATTATTTTTTAGCTCATCTGACATAAGTCAGATGCAGCTTGTAGAATCGCTTGATCTCCGTCCGTGCGCGTGCTCCGTTGCCGTCCGTGCGTCCGTGCGTCAACAGTTGGGCACAAATCTTAACCGCTCGACGTACGGTCACGATATCGGCACATCGGGGGGGATCGTCAAAACGAGTTGGGATGTCGAAGCTGGGGGCAAGGTCAAAGTCAAGAGGTGTAAAAAAAGGGGAACATTCACTCCTTAACTTAAGGTATAGGAAGGAAATGCATAATTGCGGCACAAATCTAAACGGCTCGACGCTAGGCTCGTGATAGTCGGTGTATAGCATCATGTAGAAAAGCGCATCACTGTGCCGAATTTGGAGGTCACAGGTCAAAGGTCAGTGGGCACAGGCCGATTTTGACATTTTCTGAGGACATGGTCTGACGGAGCGATTGAAAAACTTTTTTGTTCAGCGGTGACTAGCATTTTATGGCTTTATTGAAGGGACCATGAAATGTCCTCTGCTGACATGCGAAGAGTAAGTGTCGGATAACCTTTTGACCTCAAGAGGAGGGTTAAACATGGATTGTTCACTGTCAACAAGGAGCTTGACTGCTTTTGCTATTATTAGAGCCCTATACCTGTGTCAATGTGAGGCTACAGTTGCCGCACAGTTTTATTGCAAAGGCAAATGTGTGAACAAGGTTTACGCTCCTTAAATCTATGATTTTCTAAAGGCAGTGTGTCTATAGCACCCTGCCCATTAGGCTGTGCAGGCCTGAATCAGTGAATGCTCACAAGGCAAAAACACAGGCAGCCCATGGCTGGCACGCTTCTTAATCATAATGTTGCCTGCCAACCTGCAATGCACCTGTTCACTCACAGCTGAGCAACTGCCTGAATATACTTACTTGGATTTTAGCCTGTACCTACTGTACGATTTGAGGAACGATGCCAATCTTTGATTATTGATACAAGCACGCGCCATCTCGTGCAACTAAGGCCTAGTTTAAATTAGTTTTATTCTCATGTAACTTTGTTAACGAATAAATAATAACTAGTACCATATTATAATATATAATATTTACTTTTCATCTTGAATCTTAACATATATCATGTAGCTATGCGTGCGTATCCATTTACCAGTTGTGCGAACATAAGCTGTTACCATAGAAATATTAGAACACTATATATATGATTCTATGACTGTTACACTCAGGGGCATAGGAAAGAAAGCATTATTAAGGGGGGCAGTAAAAGGCATCATCGGCTGGGTTTTAATTTTTTTAATATAATTAAGAGAGAGAGAGAAGTAAGATAAAGAGAGAGAGAGAGTAGTAAATTGAGACGGGGACAGGAAAACGGTGATACGGTGTGTATGCGACGGGGAAACGGGGCTACAATTAGGTCGTGCGAGATGTTGTGCAAGGGGATGGGAGTGGGAGGCAGGGGAGGGAGGTCGAAGTAGCGGGGAGGGAGATGGAGGTAAGGGGGAAAGTGAGAGGGCAAGAGGAGTGAAGTGGAGGCAGGGGAGGGAGGGGACGCAGTGGGGAGGGAGGTGGGAGAGAAGGACTCCCTGCCCCTCTAATTAACTGGAGATCCATGCTCATATGTTGAAATCTTTTATAGATAGATAAAAATAGATAGCTGTGAATCTATGACAACAAATTCGAGGTGAAAGGCAAGTATCATTTAATAAAATAAACCAAATCGCATGGGGGAGATAAGTGAGCGTGTCCTCAACAATGATGTGTACGCAACTGCGTATCTGCATATCTGCCGCCTAACACAATGTGTCACTACGCACGACTGAAGTTTATAACCGTAGCAACAGACCCCAGATGAGCTCAGCCGCTCTGGCGGCTCTTGTTAAACATTTTCATAGTTAAGACTGAAACACAAAGCATGTGTGGCAAACATGAAGACAGACTTAAAATAACTATTATGCCTCACACAAAAAAATGACCTACCTACCTACCACTAAAAAAATCATGGTCGGGGCGACAGCAAACATAGAATTTTTTAAGGGATGGCCCTACCCAAACTTTTCAACTTGGTCGGGTGAGGGACAAACAACGATTTTTTTAATTGTGGCCTGGGTGTCTCAAATTGCGTGTGTTTGCAGGTGAGCGTTCGGACGCACAGATGAGGAGAGTTGTGCATCAGCTGAAGCGGAAGCTCAAGGAGTCTGAGCAGCTGAACAAGTCGCTGCGACTAGAGCTAGAGCTTCACCAGAAGCTGCAGCTCGCTCGCTCGCAGGCTCCCGGTAAGACAGCTCGCGATAGCCGCGTCGTTAGTTTAAGTTAAATCCTTACCGTGCCTATATGGCGCGTAGGGCGGTCCCTATCTCTGTTTCAGTAACCCTGAGGCCCCGCAGCTGCTTTCACAGTAAATGCACAGTAGGGGTTAGTCCACTGGTAGCACTGCGAGTTAACTGGCCACACTCTATCTTTATTTGCTGAATGCTAAGCAGAGAAGCCACGTGTACCATTTTTCAAGTTTTTGGTATGACCCGGCCGGGTGTTGAACCCCCGAACTTCCACATGCGAGGCGAGCACTCTACCATTGAGACGTAGCGTCGTTACTGACGTCGAAAATGTTGTCGTGGATGTGTGCAGCGCTTATTACTGGTTTTCCTTCGTCCTGGTGCTTTTCCGGTCGTGGTGCATCTTGAATGATTGCATCGTAGAAACATATGGCCGTCATTGCTGCTCAGATCCCAGCGATCCGCTGTCTTGAGGTTTTAGTTCTGCGCAGTGGCTGTGATCTAAGTCTAGAAAGCATTCCCTGGCCAATTGCAGTGTGTTACCCACTAAATCAGTTAGCGGACATTGATTCGGGTGCGTTTCGGGTTTTCAGTTTCTCATCTCAAAGCTCAGTGAGTGCATCCTCGAAAGGTGGATCGTTGATAGCACAGCCCACAGATGGTACATCTGGTGCACAGCACACACTGGCAGTGCGATGCAATGTCTTAATAATGAATGTATTATTGATCTCAGGTGGAGAAAGTGAAGCCAACTTTGAGAAGCAGATGCAGGAGACGAGAGCGCTTCAGCACCATCTACAGGCCTCTCTGGAGAATAACGACCGCTTGAGGGAGCAACTAGCCGCATTGCTGGGAGAAGGTGGTATGGCAGGTGAGCTGAGGAAATCCCTTCCCGTGGATGCAGTTTGGGTATTCTTGGAGGAGAATCGAACCTGGTTTCGCAAGTAAAACGTGTAAAAAATCACACGAAACCATGTACCATCAACCATCATATATCACCCTAAGTTGAACATATTTACATGACAGGTATCCGTTGGCATTTGTAATGTGATTTTGGCAAAGGTGGGAAATTACCTAAGTTATCTAAAAACGATTAAGAATTTCTATGAGATACTGATTAATCACATCGCATTTGGAATGCTCAGTTGTTTCCCCGACACGGCACTTCACGCCCCAGCATCCGTGCGTAGACATCCAGTTAGGGGTAGCGCGCCGCACGCATCTCTCGTCGCCCCCGGTTACACATCGTGTCGTGAACGACGCCGCGCTGCTAATAACCCCCCGCTTCCGTTATTCCCGCAGCGGCGCTGGCGGCGACTCCGCTGCCGCCGCGAGACCTCGAGACGCCGGTCGAGCCCGACGACGAGACGGGGGAGCTGCGGCGGAGGCTGGCCGCGAGCGAGCGGGGTCACGCGGAGGTCGCGTCGCGGCTCGCCGGCGCCGAGCACCAGCAGGGGGAGCTGTGCGCGGTGATCAACGAGAAGAACACGCTCAACCAGGAGCTGCTGGAGCGCGCGGCCGCGCTCGAGGCACGCTGCCGCCACCTGGAGGCGTCGCTCGCCGAGGGACAGCGCGACGCGGAGAGACAGCCAGACAGCGAGAGACAGCCTGAGGTGGATGGACAGAGCGCGGCTGCTGAGTTGGATGCGCGCTGCAGGGAGCTGGAGGCGTCCCTCGCCGACAGCCTCGCGCGGCAGGCCGAGGGACAGCAGACGGTCGCCTCTCTGTGCGCGAGAGCCGATGAGCTCGCGCGCGAACTGTCGGCCGCCGCCGACGAGAAGCGCCTCCTGGTGGAGCGCATCGCCGACGTCGAGCCGGCCGTCGCGCAGCTGCGGCTCGAGCAGGACGCGGTCGCCGACGACAACCGTCGGCTCGGCGACGAGAACGCGCGGTTCGGCGCCGCGTACGAGCGCTGCAACGCGCAGATGCTCGAGGGCCGCAAGCGCGAGCGCGAGATGGAGAACTACGTGAAGCAGCTGTCGGACAGCGTCACGGGCAGCCAGGAGCTGACGTCACGCCTCGCCGCACTGCAGAGCGCGCTCGAGGCGAAGGAAGCCGAGCTGAAGGTGGCGCTGGCGCGGCTCGCCGACGCCGACGCGGCCCCGGGGCGCCGGACCCTCCGACGAGTCACCGTCGCGCGCTCCGCACAGCCCCGGCCTCGCCCGAAGCCTGGCGCCGCGGTTCTCCGCCAGGGGGCGCCGCTGTCGGCCGGCTTGCTTGTTCGGGACCTGCGCGGACGCAACGAGGCGGAGGACGACGAGGCGGGACGCGTCACGAGCTCGTCGCGCTCGGCGAGACGATGGCTGAGCCTCCTTGCGCGCGAGTCGCCCGAGTCGACCGACGAGAAGACGCGGCTGCTCGCTGGAAGCTGCGCGCCGATGCTGGTCGCCGTGACGAACGCGGCGGCGGCGGCGGCGCGCGCGCCTCGTCGAGCGGAGCCCGTGACGCGTCGGACCTCTGCAGCGCAGCCAGCGAGCTGCTTAAGCGCGACCTCGCGCAGCTGCGCGCCGAGCTGCTCGACCGCGACAACCGCATCGTCGCCATGGAGATGCAGAGCCGGCAGGGAACAGCGGCGGCGCGGCCACGACGACGACGACGACGACGCAGCCTTTGTCCCCGTGCGCACGCGAGCAGATGAAGAAGTAAGTGCGAAGGCGGGGTTTTCATGCGGCCACTGAACTTTCGTGTTTGATCGGCAGGTGATTTAGCAGGTGTTGAGATTCAGTTCGTGGAGGTTTCTGTTCTTTCTG